ATGATTCACCGTGCTACAGCCCAGGTAGTGTGATGATTCACCATGCTACAGCCCAGGAAGTGTGATGGTCCACCATGCCACAGCCCATTTATTGTGATGATTCACCATGCTACAGTCCAGGTAGTGTGATGGTTCACCATGCCAGAGTCCAGGTAGTGTGATGTTTCACCATGCCACAGCCCAGGTAGTGTGATGGTTCACCATGCCACAGCCCAGGTAGTGTGATGGTTCACCATGCCACAGCCCAGGTAGTGAGATGATTCACCATGCCACAGCCAAGGTAGTGTGATGATTCACCATGCCAGAGCCCAGGTAGTGTGATGATTCACCATGCCACAGCAAAGGTAGTGTGATGGTTCACCATGCTACAGTCCAGTTAGTGTGATGGTTCACCATGCCACAGCCCAGGTAGTGTTATGATTCCCCATGCCACAGCCCAGGTAGTGTGATGGTTCACCATGCCACAGCCCAGGTAGTGTGATGGTTCACCATGCCACAGCCCACGAAGAGTGATGATTCACAATGCCACAGCCCAGGTAGTGTGATGGTTCACCATGCCACAGCCCAGGTAGTGTGATGATTCACCATGCCACAGCCCAGGTAGTGTGATGATTCACCATGCAACAGCCCAAGTAGTGTGATGATTCACTATGCCACAGCCCAGGTAGTGTGATGATTCACCATGCCTCAGCCCAGGTAGTGTGATGGTTCACCATGCCACAGTCCAGGTAGTGTGATGATTCGCCATGCCACAGCCCAGGTAGTGTGATGATTCGCCATGCCACAGCCCAGGTAGTGTGATGATTCACCATGCCACAGCCCAGGTAGTGTGATGATTCACCATGCCACAGCTCAGGTAGTGTGATGATTCGCCATGCCACAGCCCAGGTAGTGTGATGATTCGCCATGCCAAAAGCCTAGGTAGTGTGATTTTTTTCGCCATGCCACAGCCGGGTTTAGTGTGATGTTTTCACCATGCCACAGCCCAGGTAGTGTGATGATTCCCCCGTGCCACAGCCCAGGTAGTGTGATGATTCGCCATGCCACCGCCCAGGTAGTGTATGATTCACCATGCCACAGCCCAGGTAGTGTGATGATTCACCCTGCCACATCCCAGGTAGTGTGATGATTCACCCTGCCACAGCCCAGGTAGTGTGATGGTTCACCATGCTACAGCCCAGGTAGTGTGATGATTCACCATGCCACAGCCCAGGTAGTGTGACGTTCCCCCTGCACATCCCAGGTTGTGTGATGTTCCCCCTGCCACACCCAGGTAGTGTGATGGTTCACCATGCTACAGCCCAGATAGTGTGATGATTCACCATGCCACAGCCCAGGTAGTGTGATGATTCACCCTGCCACATCCCAGGTAGTGTGATGATTCACCCTGCCACAGCCCAGGTAGTGTGATGGTTCACCATGCCACAGCCCAGGTAGTGTGATGATTCACCCTGCCACAGCCCAGGTAGTGTGATGGTTCACCATGCCACTGCCCAGGTAGTGTGATGGTTCACCATGCCACAGCCCAGGTAGTGTGATGGTTCACCATGCCACAGCCCAGGTAGTGTGATGGTTCGCCATGCCACAGCCCAGGTAGTGTGATGGTTCACCATGCCACAGCCCAGGTAGTGTGATGGTTCACCATGCCACAGCCCAGGTAGTGTGATGGTTCACCATGCCACAGCCCAGGTAGTGTGATGGTTCACCATGCCACAGCCCAGGTAGTGTGATGGTTCACCATGCCACAGCCCAGGTAGTGTGATGGTTCACCATGCCACAGCCCAGGTAGTGTGATGGTTCACCATGCCACAGCCCAGGTAGTGTGATGGTTCACCATGCCACAGCCCAGTAGTGTGATGGTTCACCATGCCACGCCAGGTAGTGTGATGGTTCCCATCCCACAGCCCAGGTAGTGTGATGGTTCACCATCCCCACACCCCAGGTAGTGTGATGGTTCCCCCATGCCACAGCCCACGAAGAGTGATGATTCACAATGCCACAGCCCAGGTAGTGTGATGGTTCACCATGCCACAGCCCAGGTAGTGTGATGATTCACCATGCCACAGCCCAGGTAGTGTGATGATTCACCATGCCACAGCCAGGTAGTGTGAGGGATTCGCCATGCCAAAAGCCCAGGTAGTGTGATTGATTCGCCATGCCACAGCCTAGGTAGTGTGATGATTCGCCATGCCACAGCCTAGGTAGTGTGATGATTCACCATGCCACAGCCCAGGTAGTGTGATGATTCACCGTGCCACAGCCCAGGTAGTGTGATGATTCGCCATGCCACAGCCCAGGTAGTGTGATGATTCACCATGCCACAGCCCAGGTAGTGTGATGATTCACCCTGCCACATCCCAGGTAGTGTGATGATTCACCCTGCCACAGCCCAGGTAGTGTGATGGTTCACCATGCTACAGCCCAGGTAGTGTGATGATTCACCATGCCACAGCCCAGGTAGTGTGACGATTCACCCTGCCACATCCCAGGTAGTGTGATGATTCACCCTGCCACAGCCCAGGTAGTGTGATGGTTCACCATGCTACAGCCCAGATAGTGTGATGATTCACCATGCCACAGCCCCAGGTAGTGTGATTATTCACCCACCAATTCCCAGGTAGTGTGATGATTCCCCTGCCACAGCCCAGGTAGTGTGATGGTTCACCATGCCACAGCCCAGGTAGTGTGATGATTCACCCTGCCACAGCCCAGGTAGTGTGATGGTTCACCATGCCACTGCCCAGGTAGTGTGAGGGTTCACCATGCCACAGCCCGGGTAGTGTGAGGGTTCACCATGCCACAGCCCAGGTAGTGTGAGGGTTTTCGCCATGCCAAAAGCCCAGGTAGTGTGAGGGTTCACCATGCCACAGCCCAGTAGTGTGATGGTTCACCATGCCACAGCCCGGGTATTTGTGATGGGTCACCATGCCACAGCCCGGGTAGTGTGATGTTCACCATGCCACAGCCCAGGTAGTGTGATGGTTCACCTTTGCCACAGCCAGGTAGTGTGAGGGTTCACCATGCCACAGCCCAGGTAGTGTGATGTTCACCCATGCCACACCCCAGGTAGTGTGATGGTTCCCCCATGCCACAGCCCAGGTAGTGGGGATGGTTCACCATGCCACAGCCCAGGTATTTGTGATGGTTCACCATGCCACGCCCAGGTAGTGTGATGGTTCACCATGCCACAGCCCAGGTAGTGTGAGGTTCCCCCATGCCACAGCCCAGGTAGTGTGATGGTTCACCATGCCACAGTCCAAGTAGTGTGATGGTTCACCATGCCACAGCCCAGGTAGTGTGATGGTTCTCTATGCCACAGCCCAGGTAGTGTGATGGTTCACCATGCCACAGCCCAGGTATGTGATGATCACCATGCCACAGCCCGGGTAGTGTGATGATCACCAGCACGCCTAGGTAGTGTGATGGTTCACCATGCCACAGCCCAGGTAGTGTGATGATTCACCATGCCACAGCCCAGGTAGTGTGATGATTCACCATGCCACAGCCTAGGTAGTGTGATGATTCACCATGCCACAGCCCAGGTAGTGTGATGGTTCACCATGCCACAGCCCAGGTAGTGTATGGTTCACCATGCCACAGCCCAGGTAGTGTGATGGTTCACCATCCCACAGCCCAGGTATGTAAATGGTTCACCATGCCACAGCCCAGGTATTTGTGAGGGTTTCACCATGCCACAGCCCCAGGTAGTGTGTGGTTCACCATGCCACAGCCCAGGTAGTGTGATGGTTTCACCATGCCACGTCCAAAGTGTGTGATGGTTCCCATGCCACAGCCCAGGTAGTGTGATGGTTCTCTATGCCACAGCCCAGGTAGTGTGATGGTTCACCATGCCACAGCCCAGGTAGTGTGTGATTCACCAGCCACAGCCCAGGTATGTGGATGATTCACCATGCCACAGCCTAGGTATGTGATGGTTTCACCATGCCACAGCCAGGTAGTGTGATGATTCACCATGCCACAGCCCAGGTAGTGTGATGATTCACCATGCCACAGCCTAGGTAGTGTGATGATTCACCATGCCACAGCCCAGGTAGTGTAATGATTCACCATGCCACAGCCCAGGTAGTGTGATGGTTCACCATGCCACAATCCAGGTAGTGTGATGGTTCACCATGCCACAGCCCAGGTAGTGTGATGGTTCACCATGCCACAGCCCAGGTAGTGTGATGGTTCACCATGCCACAGCCCAGGTAGTGTGATGGTTCATCACGGTACCAAATATATGTAAAACGTCGGAGGGAATGAAGTAATTATTTTTGCTAATACGGGGCGCATGTATTTCTCTGACAGTGACGATAATATATCCGTCTTTATATAAGTATTTGAAATCTTCAATAGGTTTTTGGTCATTAGTCGCTTCATCTGTTTTGACCCATGGGAGAGCTTAATATAATTTTTTTTCCAACACGTCGGTCGTCTCCCACCGAGGCAGGTTGACCCAAGAAGAAAGAAAATCCCCAATATGAAACTACTTTCATCATCATTCAACACTTTCACCTCACTCATACACATACCAATTCTGGAAATTAAAATGAATTAAAGCTCCCTTTATCAGAAAGATCATAGAGATATATATTATTTCCCCCACTGCCGTTAAAATTTCGTTCAGCCTGTTCCTGGTCTCTGTTAACAACACTTACAAATTTGGAGCAGATCACCAAATTTCTTACATAGATCATAACTCCGGGAATGTTCGTAAATTTGATAACGCAAAAAATAACCTTTCATCATCATTATTTTAATGTTGGAAACATTGAAAATGAATTGTTATTAAAATTAGGTTATTTTTTAGGCATTTAAGTCTACTCAGCTAATATGCATAGCCTCAAGACTACTCTGTCATAATAGGGTATTAAATTCCTTAGTTTAAACATGATCTATGGAAACTTGCATCCTTCGTAATACATGTAATACTTGTACTATTAATTCTCCTTTCACAGTGATACCTGTGACTGCTGATATTTATCATCCATACTTACGTTTTGGTCCTGTTGTAAGGTAAATTCACACTAACGTAGTCTACCCGAGCCAGCATGAAGGTGTCAGCAGTGATGATCACTCCGTAGGGCGCACCCTGCAACACAGATACAAGGCGTCACCCTGTAACACAGATACAAGGCGTCACTCTGTAACACAGATACAAGGCGTCACTCTGTAACACAGAAACAAGGCGTCACCCTGTAACACAGATGCAAGGCGTCACTCTGTAACACAGATGCAAGGCGTCACCCTGTAACACAGATACAAGGCGTCACCCTGTAAAACAGATACAAGGCGTCACTCTGTAAAACAGATACAAGGCGTCACCCTGTAACACAGATACAAGGCGTCACTCTGTAACACAGATACAAGGCGTCACTCTGTAACACAGAAACAAGGCGTCACCCTGTAACACAGATGCAAGGCGTCACTCTGTAACACAGATACAAGGCGTCACTCTGTAACACAGATACAAGTCGTCACCCGGTAACACAGATACAAGGCGTCACCCTGTAACACAGATACAAGGCGTCACCCTGTAACACAGATGCAAGGCGTCACTCTGTAACACAGATACAAGGCGTCACTCTGTAACACAGATACAAGTCGTCACCCTGTAACACAGATACAAGGCGTCACCCTGTAACACAGATACAAGGCGTCACCCTGTAACACAGCTACAAGGCGTCACCCTGTAACACAGCTACAAGGCGTCACCCTGTAACACAGATACAAGTCGTCACCCTGTAACACAGATACAAGGCGTCACCCTGTAACACAGACACAAGGCGTCACCCTGTAACACAGATACAATGCGTCACCCTGTAACACAGATACAAGGCGTCACCCTGTAAAACAGATACAAGGCGTCACTCTGTAAAACAGATACAAGGCGTCACCCTGTAACACAGATACAAGGGGTAACCCTGTAACACAGATACAAGGCGTCACCCTGTAACACAGCTACAAGGCGTCACCCTGTAACACAGCTACAAGGCGTCACCCTGTAACACAGATGCAAGGCGTCACCCTGTAACACAGATACAAGGCGTCACCCTGTAAAACAGATACAAGGCGTCACTCTGTAAAACAGATACAAGGCGTCACCCTGTAACACAGATACAAGGCGTCACCCTGTAAAACAGATACAAGGCGTCACTCTGTAAAACAGATACAAGGCGTCACCCTGTAACACAGCTACAAGGCGTCACCCTGTAACACAGCTACAAGGCGTCACCCTGTAACACAGCTACAAGGCGTCGCCCTGTAACACAGGGTGAAGGTAGATGCACCGCTAAAAAGGGAGAGGTATGCGCTCCTTGCAATATTGGGAGTACACAGTGCAACACAACAGTAGGGCGGTAACACAGTGAGGAAGAGCATGTTCTTCAACAAGGTGAAGAGAAAGAGTGAAGAGTGTGTATTGGAACACAGGGAGAGAGCGTGTTCTGTGAAACAGGTTTAAGGGAGTTCAGTGACAGAGGAAAGGAGGGCGTGTTCCACCACACAGGGAGAGAGGGCGTGTTCTGCAACACAAGAAGAATGATGGCATGATCCACAACACAAGAAGAAGGAAGGCATACTGTGCAACACAAGGGGGAGAGCGTGCTTTGCAACATGTGAAGAATTAGGACATTATCTGCAACAGAAGAACGAGAGCATGATCCGCAGCACAATAAGAATGAGGGCGTGCTCTGCAACACAATAAGGAGGGCGTGCTCTGCAACACAATAAGAATGAGGGCGTGCTCTGCAACACAATAAGAAGGAGGGCGTGCTCTGCAACACAATAAGAAGGAGGGCGTGCTCTGCAACACAATAAGAATGAGGGTGTGCTCTGCAACACAATAAGAATGAGGGCGTGCTCTGCAACACAAGAATGAGGGCGTGCTCTGCAACACAATAAGAATGAGGGCGTGCTCTGCAACACAATAAGAATGAGGGCGTGCTCTGCAACACAATAAGAATGAGGGCGTGCTCTGCAACACAATAAGAATGAGGGCGTGTTCTGCAACACAATAAGAATGAGGGCGTGCTCTACAACACAATAAGAATGAGGGCGTGCTCTGCAACACAGTAAGAATGACGCCATGCTCTACAACACAATAAGAATGAGGGCGTGCTCTACAACACAATAAGAATGAGGGCGTGCTCTACAACACAATAAGAATGAGGGCGTGCTCTGTAACACAATAAGAATGAGGGCGTGCTCTACAACACAATAAGAATGAGGGCGTGCTCTGCAACACAATAAGAATGAGGGCGTGCTCTACAGCACAATAAGAATGAGGGCGTGCTCTGCAACACAGTAAGAATGACGCCGTGCTCTACAACACAATAAGAATGAGGGCGTGCTCTACAACACAATAAGAATGAGGGCGAGCTCTACAACACAATAAGAATGAGGGCGTGCTCTGCAACACAGTAAGAATGACGCCGTGCTCTACAACACAATAAGAATGAGGGCGTGCTCTACAACACAATAAGAATGAGGGCGTGCTCTACAACACATAAGAATGAGGGCGTGCTCTACAACACAATAAGAATGAGGGCGTGCTCTACAACACAGTAAGAATGACGCCGTGCTCTACAACACAATAAGAATGAGGGTGTGCTCTACAACACAATAAGAATGAGGGCGTGCTCTGCAACACAATAAGGATGAGGGCGTGCTCTACAACACAATAAGAATGAGGGCGTGCTCTACAACACAATAAGAATGAGGGCGTGCTCTACAACACAATAAGAATGAGGGCGTGCTCTGCAACACAATAAGAATGAGGGCGTGCTCTACAACACAATAAGAAGGAGGGCGTGCTCTACAACACAATAAGAATGAGGGCGTGCTCTGCAACACAATAAGAATGAGGGCGTGCTCTACAACACAATAAGAAGGAGGGCGTGCTCTACAACACAATAAGAAGGAGGGCGTGCTCTACAACACAATAAGAAGGAGGGCGTGCTCTGCAACACAATAAGAAGGAGGGCGTGCTCTACAACACAATAAGAAGGAGGGCGTGCTCTGCAACACAATAAGAAGGAGGGCGTGCTCTTCAATACAGTAAAAATGAGGACATGGTCTGCAACACAATAAGAATGAGGGTGTGCTTTGCAACACAGTGAGAGAGAGCCCATGCAACACACAAGGAGACAAACTACTTTCCATACATCTTTCTATGAATCCAAATTTACCATCTCTGCATCTGCACTGGTTACCTCATTCTCATTTTTATATATATTTTCTAGTTCCTTACTGAATAGCTCCTTAACTAACATGCTTCTCAGCAGAACCAGTTTATAATTTAGAGCTTGTTACCAATTTCCCATTTTATATTAAGATTACTAATGATGTTATCCAGATATCCTCGGAGCGAATCTGCTGAGATTTTCTTACTCATTTCTGCAACTTTGCAAGCTCCTGATGATGTGTTGATTGCAACACGAAAGTTATTATTCAACTCCCCTGGTTATTTACACACGTACACACATATATAAAATGATATATTGTGTTTATTTTATATATAATATATAAAAATATATATATATATATATAATATAATATAAATAATTATATAATATATATATATAAAAAATTTAAAATATATTATTATATATATATATATATATATATATATGTATACATAAATATATATATATATATAATATATATATATATATATATATATATATATATATATATAATATAAATATATATATATATAAATATAAATATATAATATTATATATACAATTTTTATAAAAATATAATAGTTTATATAAAACATACACTAAAGATTACATAAATATACATAATTGTCAATTTTATAATCGTATACTCATGTATATGTATAAATGTGTGTGTGTGTATATATATAAAATGAGAGAAACAGAAAGAAAAAGAGAGAAAGAGAGAGAGAGAAGAGAGAGAGAGAGAGAGAGAGAGAGAGAGAGAGAGAGAGAGAGAGAGAGAGAGAGAGAGAGAGAGAGAGAGAGAGAGATTCTACTCACCGACTGTGCAGTTACTGAACAACTGAAGTTATCCGTATAATTTCTGATGCCATAGAAAGGTGATGTCCAGACGAAACATCCTCCAGAAGTGTTTATATTGCAACGTGGAAGTGAGGGAGCGGTGGTGGTAGTGGCTATGGTAGTTTTAGTTGGGATGGTGGTAGTCGTGGTAGTTGGTTTGGTTGTGGTATTAGTTATAGTTGGTTTAGTAGTGGTAGTGGCACTAGTTGGTTTGGTAGTGGTAATCGTAGTAAATGGTTTGGTGGTGGTAGTCGGGGTAGTTGGTGTGGTGGGGGAAGTCGCGCTACTTGGTTTGGTAGTCGTTGTCGTTGGTGCGGTGGAGGTTGTCGTCGTTGTTTGTGTGTTGATAGTAGTCGTAGTAGATGGTGTTGTTGTGGTAGTTGGTTTGGTAAAGGTAGTCGTAGTAGATGTTGTGGTGGTAGTTGGTGTTGTGGCTGTAGTTGGTGTGGTGTGGTGGTGGATGATGTAGTAATTGTTGTGGTAGTAGTAGTCGTGGTAATAATCGTACTAGTTGTAGTGGTGGTAGTGGTAGTAGTTGGTGTGGTGGTGATAGTCGTCGTAGTAATTGCTGTGGTGGTAGTCGTAGTAATTGGTGTGATTGAGGTGGTCGTAGTAGTTGGTGTGATGGTGGTCGTAATAGTTGGTGTGATGGTGGTGGTCGTAGTAGTTGGGGTGGTGATGGTGGTCGTAGTAGTTGGTGTGATGGTGGTGGTCGTAGTAGTTGGGGTGGTGGTGGTGGTCGTAGTAGTTGGTGTGATGGTGGTCGTAATAGTTGGTGTGATGGTGGTGGTCGTAGTAGTTGGGGTGGTGATGGGGTCGTAGTAGTTGGTGTGATGGTGGGTGGTCGTAGTAGTTGGGGTGGTGGTGGGTCGTAGTAGTTGGTGTGATGGTGGCGGTCGTAGTAGTTGGTGTGATGGTGGTGGTCGTAGTAGTTGGGGTGGTGGTGGTGCTCGTAGTAGTTGGGGTGGTGGTGATGGTCGTAGTAGTTGGTGTGATGGTGGTGGTCGTAGTAGCTGGGGTGGTGGTCGTAGCAGTTGGGGTGGTGGTGGTCGTAGTAGTTAGTGTGATGGTGTGGTCGTAGTAGTTGGGGTGGTGGTCGTCGTCGTAGTAGTTGGGGTGGTGGTGGTGGTGGCCGTAGTAGTTGGTGTGATGGTGGCGGTCGTAGTAGTTGGTGTGATGGTGGTCGTGGTAGTTGGGGTGGTGGTCGTAGTAGTTGGGGTGGTGGTGGTGGTCGTAGTAGTTGGGGTGGTGGTGGTGGTCGTAGTAGTTGGTGTGATGGTGGTGGTCCTAGTAGTTGGGGTGGTGGTGGTCGTCGTCGTAGTAGTTGGGGTGGTGGTCGTAGTAGTTGGTGTGATGGTGGTGGTCGTAGTAGCTGGGGTGGTGGTCGTAGCAGTTGGGGTGGTGGTGGTCGTAGTAGTTAGTGTGATGGTGGTGGTCGTAGTAGTTGGGGTGGTCGTCGTCGTCGTAGTAGTTTGGGTGGTGGTGGTGGTGGCCGTAGTAGTTGGTGTGATGGTGGCGGTCGTAGTAGTTGGTGTGATATGGTGGTCGTGATAGTTGGGGTGGTGGTCGTAGTAGTTGGGGTGGTGGTGGTGGTCGTAGTAGTTGGGGTGGTGGTGGTGGTCGTAGTAGTTGGTGTGATGGTGGTCGTAACAGTTGGTGTGATGGTGGTGGTCGTAATAGTTGGTGTGATGGTGGCGGTCGTAGTAGTTGGTGTGATGGTGGTGGTAGTAGTAGTTGGGGTGGTGGTGGTGGTCGCAGTAGTTGGGGTGGTGGTGGTGGTGGTCGTAGTAGTTGTTATGGTGGTAGAGGTGGTGTCTGTAGGCATCGTCCTGCAAATCGAATCAGTATATCACTTAAAATGCGAATATTAAGTTTATCCTTCCTCACGAGACCTGGTCTCAGACCGGGCAGCGGGGGCGTTGACCCCCGAAACCCTCTCCAGGTATAATCCAGGTATACCTACTACCAGACACACTCCTACCTGTTTACACCCAGACACACATACCCACCTCTGTACACCCAGACTCACTACACACAGCTTCTCTGAAAGATGCCAACAGAGCTTCTCTTACGTGCATCCCGGAATCGGTATGAAGGAAACATTGGCCGACCATCCTGTATAAAAGTTAGTAGTAGTGGAGAAGAAGAGGATCATTGTGTTCTGGGGCGAGGTGAAGACCTGGCTGGGCATTATATCCATGTCACAATACCTGTAACGTAGATGATGAGTGTTAGTATATCCAGGGATAACACAAGACCTAGCTGGGTGTCATGTCCATGTTGCAGTACTTGTGAAGGAAATTGGCGGAAATCATTGCAGTATTTTAATTACTAAGTTGACTGGGGAAGATTGCTTAGAGTTTAGCCTAAGGTAACTGGGAATCGCGAAATCGTTATAACACGACTGAAAATAAATCACAAAACGATGGGGAGTTTGAGAACATGCCTGCCGTAGGTTCCAACACTGGGAGAACTGACTGAACGCAAAGTGAAAAAGTCCAGGAGTTCTCATATTTATTCTTTATAGAGACCGAGTAAACACACTTAATTTCCCGTCTTTGAAAAGGTGTAGAGGCAGAGTGATATGACTGAAGTTAAGTGCACTGACAAATGATTATGTTTCAAAAACAGAATATTTACGAAACTTATTTAAGGTAGAACTCTAACAACGGATTCAAGTGTGAATGTTAATTACTAAATATTAGATAAAACCTTTGTTCGTACATAAAGTAAGGCCCCTCCCCCCCAAAAAAAAATAAATAAATGCGTAAGACAATAATTGCTATCAAATCATTAGGAAAATAAAATATAAGTAGCGATTTGCAAGAATAAGAAAGATTTAACATGAACATAAAGTATGGTGCGTTTCGCTTTAATATTTTTTTTAACCAATGGGATTATCTACAGACATAACTTGACTTACACGTCGCCGGTGGTGAGGTTAGTCGTCCTGATCTCCAGAAAGTCGAAGTAGCAACAATAATTGTTGTCGCAGTAGGGATCATATCCATAGAGTGAGAAGTTGTTGAAGGTGAGTTGAGGAGAGAGACAGGTGGGAGCCTGGATCACGAAGACGCATCTTGATCCTGTCAGAAACATCTGGGTGGTGTTGAGAACATTCGTCATTCATCTGTGCTCATATACTGGTTATTATATTTTTCTTTGTTAACTCATCGGCCGTTCCCCACCGAGGCAGGGTGACTCGAGAAAGAAGAAACAGTTTTATCATCACTCACTCTCTTGCCAGAGGCATGTCGATACTACAAAAACTGCAACTTATATCCACTCCTCCTTCAGAGCGCAGGCACTATACTTCTCACCTCCAGCTAACCAGTTTTCCTGAATCCCTTCATAAATGTTACACTGCTCGCACTCCAACAGCACGTCAAGTCATAAAATCATTTCTCTCCACTCGCTCCTATCTAACACGCTCACGCATGCATGCTGGAAGTCTAAGCCCCTCGTACACAAAACCTCCTTTACCCCCTTCCCCCACCTTCTTTGGCCCAAACCCTACCCCCGGGTTCCCTCCATAAGATTTGTACGTCCCCAATTCACTATTTCGTCCATCCTTCTAATGCCAACCATCTTAAAAACCCTCCTCACCCCTACACTTTACAAAAAATCACATACCTGCTGGGGAAAAAGGAAAGTTTGGAGAGGTGATGACACCAGCTGGTGATATTTGCTGACAGTTGGATATAAACTACCTGTCAGAAAAAATCTTATTTATTAGTCCCTTTTTAGTTACCATGTTTTTACTAGCAGGCATGAGGTTTGCTACTTTTCATTTTGTTACCGTTGTTGAGTACTGTTGGTACTCAACTACTACTATTATTACTAATTTTAAAAGTAAAGAACAACACTATGGTTAGTTATTACTTATTGCTTACTAGTGGTTAGCTACTAATAGTTACCAGCAGTTTCTAGCAGACATAAATGCTCTGAGGATAAAAAAAAAGATGAATGCACTATTCTCAAGTAACGAGAATTTATTTTTATTTACGAGGAGGGATTTCATGAACACAAACTCGTCAACCTCTTGAAGAAATAAAATGAAAGGTATTATGGTACAAGTGTACAAATAGATCACAGAACTCGTTAAAATTAATTTCAACTAGGCAATTATGGCTTTAAAATGGGTATTGAGGGGATTTTTGGTCTGGAAATACGATTTTAAATGAGACGAACGATCTGTTAAGTGGCGTCACTGAACGAGATAATCTGACTATCTTTTGTTTCTGAGTATCATTTACTGACCGATCCTCATTATTTACCTCCCATTCCCCCACTGATGGAAAAGTAATAAACCCCTGCGGGTTTATTAGTTTTCCATCAATGTAGTAACAGTAATTCAGTCACACTAAAAAAAGGTTAGAAAAATATGAGTGGGGAGAGTTGGTAGTGAAAGGCAGGAACTTTATTGCTTGGCAAGTCAGTCTCGTGTTTATTCTCCATTCGGCAGCAGGTAGTTGGTCGTGGTTAATGGGTCGCTAGTAGCAAACATCTTGTGGTTGGTGAACTGAGAATTTATTTTGGATAGTAAGTGGTGGAAAATGAGGTACGTTGCTCTTTCATGGATAATATCTGATCAATAATGAAAGAAATTACAATAAGACGTGTGATTGCAAGTATGACAAAAAATACCACAGTGAAAATTGGAAATAAAACCTGACCCCTTTCATGTATTACATATCTTCCTCTGAAGATGTGTGTAAGCACATGAAAACGCTCAGGTTTAATTTCCTATTTTCACTGTGGTATTTTTTCATGATCAATAGTATATACTATTTGGGGTTTGCTAAATGTATTAAAAAGTTACAGCCGAACAGTGCTAAAGATAAGTGAACACTTCATAAGATTTACCAATAGTAGTAACAGTCTTGTATTTAAAACAATAAAGGTACATAAAATTGGTGCGGGGAAAATAATGTTTGAATGGTGTCCTTACTGTAGTAAGTACTGGTAACAGTCTGACATATGTCGCCGGAGGTACCAGGAGGACACACACATGTACAGTTGACACCGGTGTAGCCTTGGTTCTGACACGGGTCAACAGGGAGACCACATTTCGCTAGCCACTTGCCTGTGGATAAATTAATTTTCTAGTATGTGCGTCTTATTAAACCATCTCCGTACACTTGCTTATGAAAATCAAGTTTTCTTAAGCAAGAATCAAATCACAATTACAATTCGACTTTCGAATGTCCCTAAGTTTCTACGGGAGCAAAGTGATTAAACAATCCAGATTATTTTTTTGTCAGCCGTATCAAACGCATTGCAACACAAGAGCTCAAAGTGCAGCCAATATCTATTCTCGATCTATACAAGATACAAAGGTTTAAGTGACGGTCACTAAATCTGTTTGGCAACAGTTTCTCGCAGGCAATGATAGTATATTTGGTCCAGATTACATAATTCTACTTCCCTCTGATTCAAGAGTGATTAAAGAGGTTTCGGCTGTTGTTGCAAAAGCTGCCATGTATATACAGGGTCTCCGAGCAAGGTCGTGGCTTCACTCAACCCTGCTGATTAGGATCTGCCTCACACACACGAACCAAGCAAGCCAGGCGAGAAAGAGTAGGAACAAATTAACTGATATACACACATGCCAGGGAAATGGATTTAATTATATCTAACAAAAATACAAGACAACACAAGAAACAGCACAACACACAATTTTTTTTATTGGCACATCGGCCGCTTCCCACCGAGGCAAGGTGACCCGAAAAAAATAAAGAAAAACCACTTTCATCATCATTCACTTCATCACTGTCATGCCAGAGGCGTACCTAAGCCTATACTACAGTTAAAAACTGCAACATATCACAGTTATAAAACTATATGTATCTGCAGGAAAACCGGCATTATATAAAAAGCTTAAAAGTTACCCAAATTTTGTGTATACTAAACGCAGGTGCAGTTTTAATATACATCAGAATCAGCATAATACACACCTGTGCTGCAGTGATATAGTCAACCAAAACTTCCACTACCTCCCACCCAACTGACACTCACACACACACACACACACACACACACACACACACACACACACACACACACACACACACACACACACAGTAGAGACAGGAAGGACTCTGGGGGGACAGATCAGATGGGGACACCAGCAAGGAATATACCAACAAGTGTTGGAAGACTTACATACAGATGAGGAGGAGGTGAAGAAACTGCTAAGGGACATCGATACCTCAAAGGCAATGGGACCGGACAACATCTGCCCGTGGGTCCTTAGAGAGGGAGCAGATATGTTGTGCGTGCCACTTACCACAATCTTCAACACGTCCCTGGAAACTGGGCAACTACCTGAGGTATGGAAGACGGCAAATGTAGTTTGCATTTTTAAAAAAGGAGACAGAAAAGACGCACTACACTATAGACCTGTGTCATTGACGTGTATAGTATGCAAAGTTATAGAGAAGATTATCAGGAGGAGAGTGGTGGAGCACCTGGAACGGAACAAGAGTATAAATGCCAACCAGCACGGATTCATGGAAGGCAAATCCTGTGTCACAAACCTTCTGGAGTTTTATGATAAAATAACAGAAGTAAGACACGAGAGAGAGGGGTGGGTTGATTGCATCTTCTTGGACTGCAAGAAGGCCTTTGACACAGTTCCTCACAAGAGATTAGTGCAGAAGCTAGAGCATCAGGCGCATATATCAGGAAGGGCACTGCAATGGATCAGAGAATACCTGACAGGGAGGCAACAACGAGTCATGGTACGTAATGATGCATCACAGTGGGCACCTGTGACGAGCGGGGTCCCACAGGGGTCGGTCCTAGGACCAGTGCTATTTTTGGTATATGTGAACGACATGATGGAAGGGTTAGACTCAGAAGTGTCCCTGTTTGCAGATGATGTGAAGTTAATGAGGAGAATTAAATGTGATGAGGACCAGGCAGGACTTCAAAGAGACCTGGACAGACTGGACACCTGGTCCAGCAAATGGCTTCTCGAATTTAATCCTGCCAAATGCAAAGTCATGAAGATAGGGGAAGGGCACAGAAGACCACAGACAGAGTATAGGCTAGGTGGCCAAAGACTGCAAACCTCACTCAAGGAGAAAGATCTTGGGGTGAGTATAACACCGAGCATGTCTCCAGAAGCACACATCAATCAGATAACTGCTGCAGCATATGGGCGCCTGGCAAACCTGTGAACAGCATTCCGATACCTTAGTAAGGAATCGTTCAAGACACTGTACACCGTGTATGTCAGGCCCATACTGGAGTATGCAGCACCTGTTTGGAACCCGCACTTGATAAAGCACGTCAAGAAACTAGAGAAAGTACAAAGGTTTGCGACAAGGTTAGTTCCAGAGCTAAGGGGAATGTCCTATGAAGAAAGATTAAGGGAAATCGGCCTGACGACACTGGAGGACAGGAGGGTCAGGGGAGACATGATAACGACATATAAAATACTGCGTGGAATAGACAAGGTGGACAAAGACAGGATGTTCAAGGGAGGGGACACAGAAACAAGAGGCCAAAATTGGAAGTTGAAGACACAAATGAGTCAGAGAGATATTAGGAAGTATTTCTTCAGTCATAGAGTTGTAAGGCAGTGGAATAGCCTAGAAAATGACGTAGTGGAGGCAGGAACCATACAGTTTTAAGACGAGGTTTGATAAAGCTCATGGAGCGGGGAGAGAGAGGGCACAGTAGCAACCGGTGAAGAGGCGGGGCCAGGAGCTAAGACTCGACCCCTGCAACCACAAATAGGTGAGTACAAATAGGTGAGTACACACACACAGGAAGATAGCAGCGAGTAATGGTACGTGGCGAGGTGTCAGAGTGGGCACCTGTGACCAGCGGGGTCCCACAAGGGTCAGTCCTTGGACCAGTGGTGTTTCTGGTATTTGTGAACGACATGACGGAAGGAATAAACTCCGAGGTGTCCCTGTTTGCAGATGACGTGAAGTTGATGGGAAGAATTCATTCGATCGAAGACCAGGCAGAACTACAAAGGGATCTGGAGAGGCTGCAGACCTGGTCCAGCAATTGGCTCCTGGAGTTCAATCCCACCAAGTGCAAAGTCATGAAGATTGGGGAAGGGCAAAGAAGACCGCAGACGGAGTACAGTCTAGGGGGCCAGAGACTACAAACCTCACTCAAGGAAAAAGATCTTGGGGTGAGTATAACACCAGGCACATCTCCTGAAGCGCACATCAACCAAATAACTGCTGCAGCATATGGGCGCCTGGCAAACCTCAGAACAGCATTCCGACATCTTAATAAAGAATCGTTCAGGACCCTGTACACCGTGTACGTCAGGCCCATATTGGAGTATGCGGCACCAGTTTGGAACCCACACCTAGCCAAGCACGTAAAGAAACTAGAGAAAGTGCAAAGGTTTGCAACAAGACTAATCCCAGAGCTAAGGGGTATGTCCTACGAGGAGAGGTTAAGGGAAATCAACCTGACGACACTGGAGGGCAGGAGAGATAGGGGGAACATGATAACAACATACAAAATACTGAGAGGAATTGACAAGGTGGACAAAGACAGGATGTTCCAGAGACTGGACACAGCAACACGGGGACACAGTTGGAAACTGAAGACACAGATGAATCACAGGGATGTTAGAAAGTATTTCTTCAGCCACAGAGTAGTCAGGAAGTGGAATAGTTTAGGAAGCGATGTAGTGGAGGCAGGATCCATACATAGCTTTAAGCAGAGGTACGATAAAGCTCATGGCTCAGGGAGAGTGACCTAGTAGCGACCAGTGAAGAGGCGGGGCCAGGAGCTTGGACTCGACCCCTGCAAAATCAACTAGGTGAGTACACACACACACACACATAACACACACACACTACACATACACACACACACACACACACACACACACACACACACACACACACACACACACACACACACACACACACATACACATACACACACACACACACAGAAACAACGAGAAGACCAGAACGAGCCCCTGGTTTACCCGACGGTGTAAGGAGGCAAAAACAAAGTGCAATAGAGAATGGAAAAAGTACAGAAGGCAGAGAACACACGAAAATAAGGAGATCAGTCGCAGAGCCAGGAACGAGTATGCACAGGTAAGGAGGGAGGCCCAGCGACAGTATGAAAATGACATAGCATCGAGAATCAAGACTGACACGAAACTGTTGTATAGCGACATCAGAAGGAAGACAACAGTCAAAGACCAGGTGAACAGATTAAGGACAGAAGGTGGAGAACTCACAAGAAATGATCAGGAGGTATGTGAGGAGATGAACAGGAGATTTAACGAAGTTTTTACAGTAGAGACAGGAAGGGCTGTGGAAAAACAGCACAGAAGGAAACATCAAGAGGGAATATACCAACAAGTGTTGGATGACATACGAACAACCGAGGAGGAGGTGAAGAAGATGCTAAGTGACCTTGATACCTCAAAGGCGATGGGACCGGACAACATCTCCCCATGAGTCCTTAGAGAAGGAGCAGAGATGCTGTGCGTGCCTCTAACCACAATCTTCAACACATCCCTTGAAACTGGGCAACTACCTGAGAAATGGAAGACAGCAAATGTAGTCCCCATTTTTAAGAAAGGAAACAGAAACGAGGCGCGAAACTACAGACCTGTGTCTCTGACATGTATTGTGTGCAAAGTCATGAAGAAGATTATCAGGAGGAGAGTGGTCGAACACCTGGAAAGGAACAAGGTTATAAATGAAAACCAGCATGGGTTCATGGAAGGCAAATCTTGTATCACAAACCTCCTGGAGTTTTATGACACGGTAACAGAAGTAAGACACGAGAGAGAGGGGTGGGTAGATTGCGTTTTCCTAGACTGCAGGAAGGCCTTTGACACAGTTCCCCACAAGAGATTAGTGCAGAAGCTGGAGGATCAGGCGCATGTAACAGGGAGGGCACTGCAATGGATCAGGGAATACCTGACAGGTAGGCAGCAACGAGTCATGGTACGTGAAGAGGTATCACAGTGGGCGCCTGTGACGAGTGGGGTCCCACAGGGGTCAGTTCTAGGACCAGTGCTATTTTTGATATATGTGAACGACATGATGGAAGGAACAGACTCTGAAGTGTCCCTATTCGCAGATGATGTGAAGTTGATGAGAAGAATTAAATCGGATAAGGATGAGGCAGGACTGCAAAGAGACCCGAACCAGGCTGGAACATGGGGTCTAGTAACTGGCTTCTCGAATTCAATCCTGCCAAAATGCAAAGTCATGAAGATTGGGGGAGGGGAAAAAGAAGACCGCAGACAGGTAAAAGCTAGGTGGACCAAGACTACAGACCCTCACTCAGGGAGAAAAGACCTCGGGGTGACCAAAACACCGAGCACATCACCGGAGGCACACATCAACCAAATAACTGCTGCAGCATACGGGCGCCTGGCAAAACTGAGAATAGCGTTCCGATCCCTTTAAATTTAAGGAATCGTTCAAGACACTGTACACTGTGTATGTAGGCCCATGCTGAAGTATGCAGCACCAGTCTGGAACCCCACCTGGTCAAGCACGTCAAGAAGTTAGAGAAAGTAAAAAAGGTTTGCAACAAGGCTAGTCCAGAGCTCAAGGGAATGTCGTACGAGGAAAGGTTGAGGGAAATCGAACTGACGACACTGGAGGACAGAAGGGTCGGGGGAGACATGATACGACATACAAGATACTGGGGGGAATAGACAAGGTGGACAGAGATAGGATGTTCCAGAGGGGGGACACAGGAACAAGGGGTCACAACTGGAAGCTGAAGACTCAGACGAGTCACAGGGACGTTGAAGTATTTCTTCAGTCATAGAGTCGTCAGGGAAATGGAATAGCCTAGCAAGTGAAGTAGTGGAGGCAGGAACCATACATAGTTTTAAGAAGAGGTATGATAAAGCTCAGGAAGCAGAGAGAGAGAGGACCCAGTAGCGATCAGTGAAGAGGGGGACCAGGAGCTGAGTCTCGACCCCTGCAACCACAATTAGGGGAGTACACACACACACACACACACACACACACACACACACAACACACACACCACACACACACACACACACAAACACCCCAAAACACACACACACACACACCTACACACCTACACAAACCCACACACCTACAACAGGCCTAGTGTCTAATTGACATGTGCCTAGGACAAAATGGGAACTAACACACACACACACACACACACCTACAAAAACCTACACACCTACACACCTACACCCTACACCCTACACACACACAACAGGCCTAGTGTCTAATCGACATGTGCCTAGGACAAAATGGTAACTAACACAACACACACACACACACCTACACACCTACACACCTACACACCTACACACACACAACAGGCCTAGTGTCTACTCGACATGTGCCTGGGACAAAATGGTAACTAACCACCACACACACACAACACACACACACACAAAACACACCCCCAAACACACACACACATATAATATACACCACACAACACCACACAACACAACCCCCAACAAACACACACACACCACACACACACAACACCCACACACAACACACACACACAACACACACACACAACACCTAAACGGCCTAGTGTTAATCGAATTGCCTAGAAAAAAGGTAACTAAACAACACACACACATACCACACACACACACACAACCACACACACCACACACCCCACACCCCATACACACACACACATACAAAAAAAAAAACCCGGGTGGGGTTATCAAAAAATGGGGGTATGGACGAGTTTGGGATATGGATTATCAGTAGGTACATTCAGTCAGGGAAACACAAGGTAGTCATTGCAGTGATTGAAGGGGGGGGGCCCGGACAGTCTCGCCCCCTGCAACCCAATTAGGGAGACACACCACAAACCGCGGGACAACGAAAAGCATACCTTTTCTCGTAACAAATAGTACGTGATAACAACGCGCTTAAAATAATGAAAAATTAATAATTAATAATTAAAAAAAAATAAAAAAAAATAATAATAATAAATAATCAAAATTCGTCCATACCGGTGCAGTTTTTACTAGGTTGGCCAGAATTTGTCAGGGTGTGAGAGACCATTACGCTGACCAATCCCCGGGGCAAAAGGGGTCCCCGTACTGAGGGTCACTTTCCTTTCCCGCGTAAAGTATGAAAACGGGGGCGGATCGGGGATTTACGTTTTTGGGAAATGGTTTGAGGGAACCTTTAAAAAATCATCGCGTTCTCTTACGCTGTCCCCCCACCATCATCTTTAAAATTTCCCCAGCTTATCATCATCACGGTCACCATATCACCATCATTTTTACTTATCCCCTTTACTTTTTTTTTTTCATATAGTCTCCATCTCTTTTCAAAATTTTAAATTTAAAAGACGGAATCAACTTTTTTTTGACAGGCCTTTTATATTTAATAAAGGCAGTTAGTGTCAAAATTTTAAACACAATTCAGTTTTAAACAAAAGTGAACAAGCTGTGGGAGGGCCTTTGGGCACACTGCTGCATTTGTTAAAGTAACCCTTAAACCCCCAGGGAAAAAGAAGTGAATTTTTATATTAATATACGTATATATATATATAATATATATATATATAATAAATATTATAAAAATATATTTATATATTTATATAATATATAAATTTTATTATAATTATATATTGGATTAGTTCTGAAATGGTAGGGATAATGCACTGTTTGGGGAATGGGAGATAACCAGGTTTAACTGTAGGAAGAAAAGGGGTAGCATGAATTCCTTATACTTGAGCCGTCACCAGCATCAAGGATAAAAAATAGTGATACATACTCCTAATATGACCAGTTACAATGAACCTGGCAAGTGATATGCTGGTTAGAAGGTTAGGTAAGGTTCGTCAGAAAAAAAGGACAAGTGTCTCCTGACGCGGGTCTTAGTCAAATGATGACCCACCATTGGAGCTTTTGGTCATCTGACCGAGGCCTTTAACACTGACAAATCCCTTGATTGGCTTTCAAGCTTACCTGTCTCCAAGACTCTTCTGATACACACACTCCCAGGAAAATCTTGCTTTAAACACATACTTAAGAGGGAGCTTCAGCATTTTCTAAAGCTGGTTGGGCACAACTGTTGCTATTCACTTTTTGGATTAAGTTATAGAGTGGACTCCAGCCCTTACATAAAAAAAGTTTTATACCCTACATGATGAACCAAAATGAAATTTGGCTCACCATACATTGTAACTAATTAAAAAAATCACTACTAAGAGCAACAAATATTTCTCTAATAAGCCCAGAGTTTTACGTTGTTGCCTCAGACACAGACGAGGGTTGTGGCTACGTCTCTGGACCGTGAGTATGTCTTGTAATTTATAGGTGGAACAAGTATATATCTCATAACCATTATCTTCACTATCATCAACAATACTATCAACATCAATATCACAACTATTATCATCGCCTTTATTATCGCCACCAGTACTGAAATGACTATTTTTTCAACACATCGGTCGTTTCCCACCGAGGCTTCGTGACCCGAGAAAGAAGTAACACAATTTTTTCTTATTATATTTCTTACATTTAGTAATTTATGCAGGAGAAGGGGGTTACTATAATCATCAATAATATAATTACCATTACCCCTTCACAGCTCTCATAATCCTCATAACTAGCAATAAACAAGACTACCATTAGCGTCATCACCACCACTACTGCCATTACCAAAAAATCTCCAAAATCCCCACTTCCACCATAATGATCGTCACACCCGTGATCATCACCATCTCACCTGGGAGCCGTAGTGCATCACGGAGGTGTAGTCGTATGGAACACCGTAGTTGTTAATGACAGTCGTGGAGTACTCGATGAAGTTATTCTCCATGCCAAGAATGATGTTCTGATAGACAATATTAACATAGTTATCTCGGTCGGGACGTGATTGTTCATGGAAGAAGCCCATGGCATGGCCGGTCTCATGAGCTACTGTGCCCATCTGTGGAGAGAAAAAAAAAAGGTGTGAAATTCGTGTTTAAATTTAAGTACTATTTTAATTACCATAAACTTAGTGCTGCGCATTATAGACCATTGTAAGAATTCACATGATTGCAGCTCTGACAAGAAACAAAGATGTTTTCATAAGAGCAGTAATTTTACAGCCATTTCCAGACATTGTTTCCATTATTTGCCTTTTTCAGTTCATTTAAAACTTTTGTTCAAGAATCCAATTGTATCCTTATACCTGACTCCGAATTTACTTTCTCTCACCTTGTTGTGATCCTCGTGTAGGTTTTTTTTTTTTTTTGTGTATGTGCGTACTCGACTATTTGTTACTTTCCTGAACAAAGAAAAACAAGTAAATCCAGAATTATAACATGGTGAGAGCAAGCAAAAACCAATTTGTGTGTGTGTGTATGTGTGTGATTTTTCGGGTTTCTGTAATCTTTCAAGATCAGATGCAGGTGGGGGGGTTCAGGATCCTCAGTGTTCAGGTTCAAACAAAAATATAACATTAAGCTTTTGGGAAAAAGTAATACAATAATTAACAAAATAAAAAAAAAAAAAAAATTCTGCATATTTACTTTTTCACAGCCTTCCCCTTAGAGATGTCGACCCTCATGGCTTGCGCCCCATGTAAGACCAACACCAGAACCATAATAATAATTGAGGTAAGGGTGCTGGGTTTTGGAACTCGAGTAAACTTGATGCAGGGGTTGTCCATCCAGTGTTGCAGACCCAAATATTGCCGTCACATTAACTGAAAGAAAAAAAAAAAAGGGAAAAAGATTTATTTATGGTAAAAATTGGTATTTAAGGCATTAAAAAATTTCCCAAAGACCTTCCCCGGGTTGCAAAATCTCCCTACCGTACAAAGAAAGGATTTGCATTACAAATCCTTTAATGAAATTGGTAATCGATTTAGGGGGGGGGGAAAGAGGAAAAGAAGAGAAGAGAAAAAGAGAGAGAGAGTTAAAAAAAGAAAGAGAGAGGAGAAGAAAAAGGAGAGAGAGAGAGAAAGAAATTTCACATATCTTTAATGAGTATCTTATAATATCTGATACCGTTATTCAGAAAAAAATATGTATTTTGTAACATTTATAACAACAAACGAAACCTTGTTGAAGGTAAATAGCCTCACTGTTTTAACTAAATCAGTTACATCAAATATTTCTATGATGCAGGATGAAAAAAATTTTAACTTCGTGAAAAGTGTGCTGGAGGAATGTACACTTCTAAGTTAAAATGTTTTACTTTCACTATAAAATGATTGTTTTTTTAGGTATTTCAGGCACTTTTAACTGGTTGTCTGATTATATTTTCTTCCTGCTCTCAGATCTTCGTTTACATCTTGAGATCACATCGCCAAAACTTTATTTTTTTCGATGGAAGGTTATATAAACCAAGGTTATGAAAAGTATTATGAGAGTATTGGTTTATGTAAAACTGACCAGAGGGCGCCCCCTCTGGTCAGTTTATATAAATAAATTCCGTGTTATTATATTATTTTTAAAGATTCGTCGGTATTTTTCCCGGCCCGGGCCTTTTCCAAGTGGTGGCCCGGCCTTGGCTCCCTGTCTAGGGAGTGTCTGAGACCTAAGTCTTCCATGGGAGGAGGTACAAGTACCCCATCATCTTTGGGACCAACTGTCCCCAGGCCTAGCTGCTCGTAGGGAGAAGCTAGGCCTCTCTGGTCTGCCATCCCCGCCTCAAGGGGGTTATTGGGAATGACAGTCTTGTGAGCAGCAAGCTCGGGCTCAGGCACCTACCCTACCCTAAAAGGGCTGAGCATGGTGTCGATGAATTCCGTGTTATAATTTTTGAAAAGCCTCTTCTGAGCGATTTCAGACTTTCGAAACTGAGTGTATCTATGTAAAGGAAAATTCTGATTGCTATTTGGAGTGTATAAATTCCAATTTAAAAATTGCATTTTTATAATGGTATTGAATTTTTCTATTAAAATAAGTTGAATGTCTTTTCTTAACGGCTTCAGATTACCGATGACTTTTGTGAGAAGGTTGATACCTTTTAGAGTAGGCTTCATAAGTTGAATTGTGGGATTATGTACAATAACTGGAGAATGTTTCTTCCGGTTACTTTCAAACTTTTAGTGCTGGTGTGTGTTCTCAACAGAAAATTTGCATTAATTATATGATGAATAATTTTTATTTTTACTGTTTTACAAATTAGTTTCCTTCTCATATCTGGAGTCTGTCAGTTCTGATCTCTCCTAGAGACAGACCTTGATTGATAGGGGATTCTGAAGCTGTTAAGTTTATTGAAGAAGCTTGGAAAAACTGATATGCTCGTTTTCATGAAAAAAAAAAAAGAAATAGTAACCCCCTCATCCCGTCGAGTCCAGACCTTCAGAGTCCATAACTTAAGAATAAAATTTCTATACTGCTTTACATTTTAAGTGTGATAGAGTTTGGAAGATTGATTTCCGGGAGATAACTAGAGAATGCCTCTTCTGATTAGCTTTAAGCTTTCCAAGCTTGTGTGTCCTACTTAGTGAAAAGCTCGAATTGGTTTTTATCTGTGTGGATGTCGATTTGCAATTTTCCTTGAATAGGAATATTAATTTTTATACAGTAAATGGCAGTGACTGGCTGGCGATCTTCAGTACTAATACTCGACTGCATTAAAAACTTTGTCACACTCTGTACTATTTCTTTTTCATGATTTAAGAGAGAGGGGCTAGGTTATGGGAACACTTTTCATGTATACAGTGATCAAGTCACTTCTAGGAACTTTAACGTTGGAGAGTGGAATTTGTAACTAGCCAGGAATATGACGGTGTGAAGGCAGAATTCGTGTGTAAATTGAGGATTCCTGTTTGTATCCATTGATTTAGAGAACTATACCAGTCAACTGGAGGCAAGGAACTGGAGTTCAGCCTTTGTAAACATACTCCCACTGCAATGTCTCACGTACCTGGATAAACTGTGGTGTATGGAACCAATGGATATCCGTCGGGACCATCTGGCCAACGGTACATTAAGTTGCGAATGGCTTTCCTCTCCCTCAATGCTTGCCACTGTTCGGGCGTCAACATTATGTCCTTCTCAAACAGCTTCTTCCCATCCACGAAATCTGGGTTGGTGTATTCAAACCTTTCGTCCTGGGAAAGAGGAAGCTGGAGTTAGCTGTTGGCACCTCATGCGGATACGGGCTACATAGACAGGCTAGTCTAGGGAAAAATGAGAGATTATATCTTAACAGCCAAAATTAGAGAAAGTGAGTACATTGGGGCAAATAGAAGAGGTATATAGCAGATTTCGAAAGATTTTCTTTTACTTAGATGCTTGAGGATCATTTTTTGTGACCCAAATGGCTCATATTAAAGGATGTTGCGTGTGTCCACAGGGTGGGCCAAGCTTTGCAGCGACGATTGCTACTCCATCCATTACTTGATTATCTCAGTTCTCTGAATATAAAATTACAACTATTAGCATGTGGGAGTCAAGGTATAAAAGGGTGTCCTCATACTCGTAAATGTTGGTTGACGGAGACAGAAAGAGAGAGAGAGAGAGAGAGAGAGAGAATGAAATAAGAGATATTAAAGATAGCAACAACAAAAGAAAGTGGAAATACTAGCAAACAGATTCCTCAACAATAGCTACTTATCAGTCAACTTACAGGTATACTGAGCCTGGAGGCAGTTCTCTTCTTTCTGTTGTGGACCCTGACAAGTATATCTCCCCGGGGATGCCCTGCTTCCTGTTCAGAACGAAACACAAATGAGACTGCGTCATTTACACGTGCATCCTAGAGCTTAGGCGAAGGTATAGGCTTATACTGGTCTTTAAGTCCAAATTTAAATGCGTATCACAGAGTGCAAATGATATATATATATATATATATATATAATATATTATATATATATATATATATATATATATATATATATATATATATATATTATATATATATATATATATATATATATCACTTAGATGAATGTTTCAATAATAACCCCACATGAAGACAGAAGCTCAGGGAATTAACTGGATCTCAGAAGGGGATCGAAATATACAGATCAATTAATCCCCTGAGTTTCTTTCTTCACGTTACTTATTACTGAGCACTGACAAGTGCTTATTACACTTTAGTTATTCATACGAATTTTTATAGGTATGTATGTATTTAACCCCGAGATAAGTTGTAATGAAGTACAGTGTTATATTTTAGTTAAATCATTATCCAAGTTGACCTTGAGGTGTCTTCCTTGCTGTGTGTGTGTGTGTGTGTGTGTACACTGGCACGTACTTACCGACAAAGTTACCTGATGCATGATGATTGGTGGTCGAGTAGTTTCTGTGTCCTGAAGAAGAGGAAATATTATGTACTGTAATGTATATTTGTCCCGACGATTATGTCAAGGCGCTGAAACATTTTAAATTGACTAAAAAATAATTGTTTTCAAAAGAATTAATGTATGAAAATTAAACCTGCATGAGTATTGCAACCCAGGAGTCCCAAAAGCCTGTTACCCTGGGTGTAAAGGGAGCAAAATAAACACAGCAGAAAAACTTTTGACATGTATTATCCTTCACCAATGTAGAACAGAAGTATGTACAATATATACACTATGTACAACAATAGGTATTAGTGCACTCCACGGTAAGCAAGGCAGAATAGAAGCCACTAGAGAGCAGACCGTGCTTCAACCAGCTCTAGAATGGGAATGACAAGGGCAGACAGGTGAGTGGTACCCACAACACCTCTGCGATTGCCAAAACCATCTGCTCATTGGCTGGAACCTGGGTACTGACTGAACGACGGGGCCCCATCATCAACCCTTAGTACCCGGTTCACTGGATGGGGGAGATAGCCTTTCAATGAGGGTGTGTACGTGCGCCGAATAAAGGTTACGTACTCTTTGCATGCCACAGTACGAATTTTTAAAATTTTACACAGTATGTGGAATATATAATTCCAGGTATGAGAATTATTTTCTCCCTATAATTCATACTTCTATGCATACCCATAAATTTACATGGAAGATTATGCAGTCATTATCTGACTTGATATTCAACAACATAAATACTGAAAATTAGACACATGTGCAAAATCTGGGTATCTTTATTGTATATAAATTCAAGAATTTGTATTGATAAAGCCACTGGATGGCGAAACGTCTACAATAAAGATACCCAGATGTTGCACATGTGTCTAATTTTTATCTTGTCGTATTGTACACCATTCATGAACAACAAAAATACTGTCGTATAGTGAATATCTTACAAGAAATGTTATACTTATATTAATTTTATGGTGTTTCCTTCGCATGTTGACAGATAATCGGAAGTCAAGTAGACAACTTCAGTGGTCTGTACATAGTGTGTTTATATAGAATTGTGGAATCATTAAATGTATATTATTGAAAATAAATGGCATTAAGAAAATCACCACAACCAACCAACCAACAGTCCAGCTAAACAACCAACCAATCAACAAACCAATCAACCATATATATATATATATATATATATTATATTATATATATATATATATATATATATATATATATATATATATATATATATATGCAATAAGATCACAGTAACAGGGGATTTCAGAATATGCAAAACAACCACTTTTGAAAGATAGAGAAATTCCAAGCGGGTTTCGGGGACTTACTCACATTATCAGCCTGAATTTCTCTATTCTTCAGAGTGTTGTTTGCATATAAAATATATTATATATATATATATATTATATAAATATTATATATATATCTATATATATATATATATATATATATATATAATATTCATTCACTGCTTCAGTCTCTTGTTTTACAAACCTACGTTCTAACTTTGAAATCAAAGTGGATGGGCCTCCCGTTCCCTTTTCCTCCTCCTCTTCCTCCTTCTTACCTTATTCTTTTTTTAAATTTCTATCTTTCCCTGATCTTCCTTCCTACCTCTTTACTATATATACCATGATCACACAGCCTTGTATCCTTGTCAGCCATACGAATTCATTCATCAATGTGTGTGCCAGTGAGCTTTAGGTAAAACAGATTAGAAACCTTTGTCACTTCCTAACTTCCTATTAAGAGGGATGTAAGACACCAGAGAACAAGCAAATATTTCCCCCATGACTGTCACAAGACTGACTGTATAGAAATATCGTACCTGAGCGCAAGTGACTGCTGCCACACGATTGGTCCACAAGAGGGTATCGTATGTGAGCACAAGTGACTGCTACCACACGATTGGTCCACAAGAGGGTATCGTATGCGAGCATAAGTGACTGCTTCCACACGATTGGTCCACAAGAGGGTATCGTATGTGAGCACAAGTGTCTGCTACCACACGATTAGTCCACATGAGAGTAACGTACCTGAGCACAAGTGACTGCTACCACACAATTAGTCCACATGAGAGTAACGTACCTGAGCACAAGGGACTGCTGCCACACGATTTGTCCACAAGTGGGTATCGTATGTGAGCACAAGTGACTGCTACTACACGATTGGTCCACAAGAGGGTATCGTATGTGAGCACAAGTGACTGCTACCACACGATTGGTCCACAAGTGGGTATCGTATGTGAGCACAAGTGTCTGCTACCACACGATTAGTCCACATGAGAGTAACGTACCTGAGCACAAGTGACTGCTGCCAAAAGAGTGACCACAGTCATAAGCAAACACACTCCCGGGACCATGTTAACTAGTCAGACGCTTATGGACATCTGATGGTGACGGTCTATGTCTCCTTCCAACTTATATATTCTCGCTGCCTTCCCTCTCCACAGCCATGTCTGCTAACACGCCCGAAGGATCGTCTCTAGTGTCACATATTTTATAAATGAATATGCATTATTCCTCTGACAATGTTTATTATGAGAAGGAATTTCTTTTATTCAAAATTATTCTATATATAAGAGAGCAAGAGTATATTGTATTAGCGCAGTCACTTTCAATTTCCAATTTTCTCTAGATGCGTCTGCACCCAGAGTTTATTTCCTCATTTACTAAAAGCGTAAAATTAACATCCTGTGAAAATGTTCATGATTGATACCGTTCACCTCCACAAACTTTATGTTATACTGGCAATGATAAATGATTCCAGCTTCATACAAAATTAGTACCAAGTGCCCATTGACGCTGCCATTGTCTGCTCCATTTCATAATCGTGATTTAATTAATAGTTTCATAGGGAAGCTCCAAGCCCGTACGGGATCATACAGCGCATGCATAATTTGAGTCAATTAGTTTCGATCCAAGGAAAAATTAATTTAGCAACAATTCACTGAATCAAGAGCCCTTCACCTCAACATTCCTCCTTATACTACCTATGGTTTATGCCTAGTGTTCATAATTTGCAAAAAAAAAAAAAAAAAATTCACGTTTGTTTTCTTCCAGTCAACACTAATTATTATTGAACATTAAAATGGTATAAAATACCGACAGGTTGTTAGGTAAGACACAAATGCAACAGTTAGGTATCTTTATTATGAAACGTTTCGCCTACACAGTAGGCTTCTTCAGTCAAGTACAGAAAAGTTGATAGAAGCAGAAGATACTTGAAGACGATGTAATCAGTCCATCACCCTTAAAGTTTTGAGGTGGTCAGTCCCTCAGAAAGAAGCGCTAAACCACAAGTGTTATACAGCGTAATCAGTCAACACTAAAAGCACTGCGCTGCGGCGATTCTAAAGAACAGGAAGAAACATTGTTGCCCGGCTGGGTTACCTGTACATCCCGGGGAAGATTCAGTGACCTGTGTTTAGCAAACTTTATTTCCAAACAACTTACATGTGCAAGCTGAGGCACCTTTATGTGAGAGAGACAGACACAAGGAAGACGTAAGGGAGACTAGAAGATAAAGTGGGTGTCAAGGGGTAATGGAAGATGAGGGAGAAAACAGAATGAGAGGAAACACAGGAAGAACAGACTGGGGAGGAGTTGTGATAATTGAATTTCTCTTTGGTTCAGCATCAGATCAATTATGAAGAAGAAACAAACTTCATAATGATATTAATAAGAGTAGAAAGGAGACAGATATATATGCTGTACTTCTGTAAACATAACGCTTTATATATTTTTTTTTATTCGCCGGTACTCTCCCGGCCCGGGTCTTTTCCAAGTAGTGGTGACCCGGCCTTGGCTCCCTGTCTGGGGAGTGTCTCGAGACTTAAGTCTTCCATGGGAGGAGGTACAAGTACCTCGCTTTATAGCTGTCGGCTATTATATATAGATTTAGAAGTCTCATCAGCTTTACTCTGTTATAATAATAATAATAATAATAATAATAATAATAATAATAATAATAATAATAATAATAATAATTATTATTATTATTATTATTATTATTATTATTATTATTATTATTATTATTATTATTATTATTATTATTATTATATTAGCATTTTTTGGTTTATTAATGCTTCACGGTATTACAAATATTATTAAAGTTCATATAATCATCAAAAGTTGCACGTGTGTGTAATATCATTATAATTTATGTAACAACTAATAACATTACCATTATTGTTGTCATAACTATCATCACAATTATTTAAGGGTGAATAAAGTGTTAAAACGACAACATCAGATTACAGTAGTAGTGGTATATATTGACCTCTGACCTGCCTGAGCTTTGTACAGTGACAAATAAGTTGTGATAATATATATATATATTATTATCAAACAGCTTCAGGGAGAATCTTGAGTCTTCCCTGAAGCAAGTTTATTCTTTTCTCTGAGGATGAGGGTCCCCAGGACAGTTCTAGAGGTGGTACCTCCCTATATATATATATATATATATATATATATATATATATTATATATATATATATATATATATATATATATATATATATATATATATATATATTATATATATATTATATATATATACACACACACACACACACACACAGTCCGAATTAATAGCGTGCACCTGCATTTGTTGAATAAATTTATCATTGTTGGAGACTAACAATAATATTTCACGTTTACAGGATACATACACTGAGAGGTGTGTTTTTCTCAGCATACATATCCTGAGAATTTACTAGAATACCTTATTTTAGTGATTAAAGTAATATTGTCTGGTGGTGAAGAAATTATCCTGCAGCCTCAATGACCCTAGTGTAGTCGACAGGTATTAAACCCCATTAACCAACCAGTCAGTCATGTTTGACTAGCGGTACCATTAAAGAAAATGTTTCGGTATAAACGATGATGATAAAATCGGTGTCATTAGTCAACTAGGTAATGAGTTCCAAACGTTCATCAGGAGTGAACTTAATCTGGGTTACTTAGGTAAATGTTACTTTTGCTCGGGTAGATGTTGATGCCCTGAGATGTCCCGTCATAATTTCGGAACAGGA